GAAATAAAAGAAATAATAAAATAAAAATCCATAGCACAGCCCTTGTTGAGGTCAGCCCTTGTTGAGGGGGAGGAGGGGCTGCCCCCAGTTGGGTCCTTGCCTGGAGTTTGACACAGCAACTTCCTGTAGTGAGCACTTTGTATGAATTGTGGACTTCCTGTTATCAAGGCGCAGGTATTTATTCTGTAATCTGTCTAGAGCACACACCGAAATCCGACCTTCTAATAAACATAATGGCGCAGTCCCACTCCCTGCCTCGCCTCTTACCCCAACTCCCCCAGGCCTGGTGTGGGGATGGGCCTTCTGGGATGAAAGCCCCTGCCCTCCTTGCTTTCATTCTCTCCTGGGTCTAGCCTGTTCCAGGACCCTGAGCTGAGTGTCAATTCATAAGGCACTAACTACATCTACGCTCAGCCCTAGGTTCATCTGACATATACTTGCTGAGGGTCTCCCAGGCCCAGCCCCCTGCATGGGCCTTGGCTTGTCTGAGCAACATGGTCTTAGGACAGACAAAGGAAGAAATATCTTTATGAATCTCGCAAAGTTTACCTCTTTCAGTCCACAAATATTTAACGAGCACATGCTAAGTGCCAGGCACTGTGCAAGTCACTGGGCATAAAAGCAAAGCAGACCCTGTCTTCTTGGAATTTAGTCTAATTGGGCCTTGGCCCCCACTGGGAGGGTGGGGTTACTCAGTTCCATGTTTCCTTTGGTGACTCGGGCCCTAGCCCTTAATCATGGAGGAAGAGTAGGCAGGAAAATCTTTGGCTCTGGGAGGCATGGAAGTAGGATAGTAAGGTGAAAAATACATCCTACCCACACCCCCTTTGGCAGAGCTTCTCAAAGCATGTTGGGAGCTTATTAAAAGGGCTGATCCCTGGAGCCCCACTTAGGCTCAGTGGAAATCAATGAGGGCCCAGGAATCTGCATTTTTTTACTCCCCAGTAATTCTGAGACATCCCGGGTTTTGAGAAGTGCTGCCATGAGGGACTGTCCAGGGTCCTGCTTGTCACAGGGACCCGTTGGGGTAGAAGGAGGAGCTGGGGCACACCAAGGGCCTTCTTTACAGGGAAGCTGACCTTTAAAAAAGATCCTTGGTTTGTTGCCTAACACTGCAAGGATCTACTTACATTGTAAAGCAGCCTATACTCTTCCATATAGTAGCTTCCATACAGTAAGGGAGACTATTTTGCTGTGTGCTTAGTTCTCTTTGCCCTTGTCTGGGTAGAATCAGGGCCTGAGCACCTCCCACCGCAAGAAGCCTAGAGCAAGGCAGGGAGCGGTGTGTAAGTCCCGTGCCAGGGGTCCAAGCCTCACCAACCCCTAGTCACCCATCTTAAAAAAGTAAGGACACAAATTAGAGGACATGATCAGGCCATTTGGGCTGCCCAGACCAAACGAGTCTTGGTTTTGCCAAGTACCTCTGTCCCGTCCTGTGGGAGTAGAAAATGACTCAGTATGAGGTGGGTGGACCATTGCTTCGTTGCTCCCCCTTCCCCACTTAGGGAGCCAAAGCCAGGAGCAGGATGGCAACAGCTGGCCTGCCCCCATCTTGTCCTCTGCACCTGTTTGAGGCTAAAGAGACAGGGCAGAGAGCTAGAGCACAGTGGCCCTCCAGCTATGGGTGGAGGGATGCCTGTGGGCAGGTGCTGGTGGACAGACAAGACATTTAACTCCACTCACATCTGTTCCTGTCCCACCATCCCTTTCTCTAGTTGTCAGGAACCCTAAGACATCATCTGTGCCAAGAGTTGGAAGCCAAGACAGAAGGCTGCCCAATTTCTTTCCCACTTGGCCTAGTTTTGTTTTAGCTAATGGGAGGGGTCCTTTTTCCAGGTACATCAATCAGATTGAGAAATAGAGGGTGGCTCAGGTTGAGGGTGGGATGGGCTTGAGGCCCCTCCCCCAGATCCCAGCTCTGAAAGCCCACCCCAAACAACTACACACTCAGGCACACAGGCTGTGGGCGAAGCAGCCAGCTGCCTGGAGTATGGCCTGGGGGTGCCTGGGCAGTCTGGATGCAGGGATAAGCTAACCCCATCCAGCTGTCCCCAGCCACCCAGCTGTCCCTGGCTTTGTGGTAACAGCTGTCACCCACCTCCCAAAAGGGCCAGGGACAGAGGAGGCCCAGAAAGAGCTGGAGTTGCCCCAGGAAACAGGGCCTGCTGGAGAAGGCGTGGAAGCGGGGTGCTTCCGTACACTGCACTGGTGTGCACACTTAGGCACCTCTCGCACCCACAGGCACACCCTGTGCCTCAATCCGCGAACCACTAAGAGATACCGGCTCTCACATCCCCGGCGTGGCCCTCCCGACTTTCCCCGAGAGGCGGTCACAACTCCCCTTTCCGGGAAGGGCTGGGTGTCGGGAAAGCTTCTTCCCCCACCCCACTGACGGGGGGCAGCGGTTCCTGTGGCCCAGATGTGCGGGGCCCGCCGGGAGGCGACCGCTGGAGGGTTTCTGCGCCCTCCACCCCCGCCGGCCCGAGCTCTTTCATGTCCCTGCCCTCCCGGGTCCCAGCCTGAGCCGAGCAGCTGCGCCCTGCTCCCCGCCCCCAGCCTCTCTCCCAGCTGTCTTTGGGGTGGGGCAGGGCAGCTGGGGAACAGCTGCAAGGCAGGGGTGGGGGCGGGACTCGGGTGCCCCCTGAAACATCCAGAAACAGTCTCCATGCCCAGGTGGGGGTGCAGGGGGCCAGGGGAGGGCAAAGCCTGAGGGCTGGTCGGCTCCTCCGCCCCTCCCCCAGTCCATCTGGCCGGGCCAGCTGAGAGCCCGGTAGACCCCAGATCAAAGCTGCCACCGGGCTTCAAAGGGCACCCTGGCGGGTGGGGTAGCGGGGAACTCCCCGAGCAGCGACGCCGCTGAGTCAGCGCTCCAGGCCCCTCTCTCCAAGTCAAGACCCCACGTTCTAATCTCATTTCTGGGTTCCTCAGGCCCTGTTCACACCCGCCCACTCAGACTCTATCGTTGTGACCATGCTCTTTCCTCAGACACCTTCATTTTCTCCCATCCGAGGGTGGGGGAGAACCGATGAACACTTTCAGGACCAGACCTGTCCCCCTGGGGGATTCCCTACCCCACCTCTGACTTCTGTAAATTCCAGGGCGGGGTGAGGGTGGGGGAGAGGGCGGAGGGTCTAGGACCTGTCCTTCCCCAACCTAACGCTCTAGGTCTACAGAGAAAGGCGGTAGGTCTACCTTGCTGGGGCCATGGAGTAAAGAGAAGTGGAAAAGGATCCCTGGGTATCCCTGGACAGACCCCACCACGTTTTTACCCCTCTTCTAAAGTGATTACCTCCCTGTATGATTTTGGACAACTCTTACTTAGAAGTGCTTTAGAAACAGTAGTCTCTTACCAAACTTTGGGTGGTGAACACACAATACAATATGCAGATGATATAGAACTGTACACTTAAAACTTACATAATCTTACTAACCAAGGTCACCCAAATAAATTTAATAAAATAAAAAAGAAATCACAGTGGTCTCTAGAATCTGGGATCCTGGTACCAGTTCTAGAACCCTGTGAGTCTTGTCTTTTTGAGTTAGAGGAATAAAATTGAGGGCACTCTTGGATTGCCCCTTCTCTATACTCTGTGCACAAGTACTGAGTCAAGGGCCTAGGATTCAAGGCTAAGATCCCAGAAACTTCACTGAAGGCTAAGGGGAATGGGAAACAGACCAGAGTGTGGCACAGAGGCAATTAGGGTTGGGAGGCTCATAGGGGAGAGGCTAGAGACCTGGACCAGCAGGGGGCTGGCCTTAGGAACATCACCTTCTTCCTTCAGCTTCCTTCTTTCTTCCCCCAACATTCTATCCTTTCCAGCTTCACCCCAAAGGCTTTCTTCCCTTCCGGGGCAGGATATATTCACTCTCTGAATTCCTCCAGCTGCAGAGAACTTAACAACTCAAGACACTCTGTCTACAGTGAAAGCTCTTAAAAATAAATAGAAGTCTGGTGGATAGAGCTTTGGCCTCTACCATATTCTTCATGGTGTATGGGAAGCACATCCCTGAGTGAGGGAAACATTCAAGAGCCCAGGGCTTCTTCTCTAAAGTCCCCTCTCCCTGGCATTTATGATGCAGGGACTTGGCAATGGACTTAACCCAGAGTTCTGCACTGGGAGTCCGAATGTTTCCTCCACCGGTGACCAATTTTCTTTTTTTTAAATTGTTTTGTGGTTCATTCCTCTCAACTGCAGCAAACTGGGATATTTATTTCTCCTTGTACTCGATCTTTAACAATTGGATATTTCTTGAGAAAGAACCCATCTGCTCAATGCCATGGGTTATTTTTTATTATTTACATTGAGGCGGGAAGAGAGTAATGTATGGGGTGGTATGAGGCATAGTTTTCAACAGCTTATAGGATGCGGGGTGGGCAACGTCTCAAAATTACAAGTGGAATGAAAGAGTAGGCTACCAAGAATTGAGTATTAAGGGTGATGTGGACGTCCGGTCTACCTGGAAAAAAAAAACATGGCAGTGAGTCAATTGATATGTGGATTCCTGGATGCCTGATAGTTGTCATCAGATACTCTTCTTGTCTGTGCCTGTTGCAGGACAATGAGCAGGGATGCAAACGTGCAGCTAGCTCATGGCCTAATAGACAGGGACTCTCAAGCCATACCAAATGTCATCCCCAACACTGCAGCCCTGAGCTCCACTCATCAAAATTGTATACTTAGAGTAAGTCTTTCAGCAGCCCATGTGGTTCCAGGCCCTAGTTCTCTTCTGATCCCTCTGCCTGATTGTCTACCTAGCCCCAGAGTCTCGCCTCCTTTGTGTACCCCTCTCCACCTTCTCCAGAGTGGGTGTTGGGAGTACTGAAATGATGCATGTAAAGTGCCAGGCTTGGTGCTGACAATGTCTGCTTTCAGACATTGATAGCTATCATGTTTATGTTCCTTTGGGTCAACCACACTCCCATGCACTTAAACACTCTTGCTTGTTTTTTTTCTTTTTTCTTTTGATGCCTTTAGATGCATTTTATTGGTTTTCTTTCAGAATATATGGAATGCTTCATGAATTTATGTGTCATCCTTATGCAAGGGCCATGCTAATCCTCTCTGTATTGTTCCAATTTTTTAGTACATGTGCAGCCAAAGTGAGCACTTGGTATTTTAACCAACTCTGGTTACAAGCTTCATAGCTTACATGTCCACTAGCTTGTGCATCCCTGGAGGACATGAAATATTAGTCATCTTTGATTTTTCAGAGCCTGGAATGGTGCCTGTTTTATTCATTCATTCATTCATTCATTCATTCATTCGACAAATAGTTATCGAGGTCCTTCTAATACTGGACACTATTCCAAAGTTGGAGATACTTTGGTTAACAAAACAGACAAGCTCTTTTGCCCTCTTGGAGCTGATAATTTAACAAGGAAGAGATAGGTGACAACTAATAAATCAGTAAATGTTTGTTACCAATAATTACTATAAAGGGAAGTAAAACAAGGTGAGGGGGATTGGGCAAAATAGTAGGGGAGAGGGGGCATGGCAATTTTTATATAGGGAGGCAGTCGGGCATGGGTTTATTGAGGTGACATTGAGCAGAGACTCCAGAATGTGAGGAGGCAAGGTCTGGGCTATCTGGAGCAAGAGTGTGGAGGCAGAGGGAACAAGCCAAAAGGCCTGA